CTGGCTCCTAGAGATGGATTCAAACAACAGTCTTATCCTCTGCTACATGGGAGCAGCTCTGTCCTGAATAACATAGCTCTGGAGGGAGCCCCTAACCTGCTGGGTGCTCATCAGCTCCGGACACCAGCATGGCTTGGGTTGCTCCCCTACCTGCACCACCCACCACAGTTCTGTCTTTTGGTCAAAGAAGGCCCAGCCCATCTAACCACGGCTGTTTCCTAACTCCTGCAGCCTCATGCAAACAGCCCAGTGGGGCCACAGCTGAGCCTCAGGTCTCCTTCACCTACCACCACAGAGGGTCGGCTGCCAAACCTTGCTGGCAATCATCCATCTATTCCAAGGGTGAGAGACCAAAATAGACCTCTTGGTGCTGCTCACAAATGGGGCCTGCTAAGAGGCTCCTTAAATGGAAGCGAGTGGGACAGCTGCCTGGTCTGACTCCAGGAGACATGGTGGGGGAGAGCAGGGAATCAATTCTCAAGTGGGATGAGAGGCAGACCCCAGCTCTATGAAAATGCATAGGTCCATGTGTTAAAAGCATCTTCGTGGGACATGCTTAGAGAGAGAGACTGCTAGAGAGAAAGACAGCTCCTGCGGCCACAGAGGCCAAGTGAGTGGCCACGCCAGTACTGGGCCCCGGCCGGCACACAAAGGGTGAAGCTTTTAGGCAAGCAGCAGCCAGTGATCTCAGCTTCTCCCAGTCCTAATGCTCCTGAAAGGCTCTCTCCTGCTCCCTGTAATTGGGCATCAGTAGTTAATGCAGTATTGACTGCATTACACGCTCCCGTGCCTCCCCTCACTAATGCCAATTGCATCACCTTGTACAGTCACCAGCTTGCTTAGCCAATAGCCGTTAAAAGCAATCCAAATCATGAATCATATGGGAAACTTTTAGCAAGACACCGCCATCCAAGGAGACAATTTACAGTTGAGTTAATCTGGGTACATTAGCAAGACATGGATTCTGGACGACAGACCAATTTATGTTGTTTCCCTGTCCCCTCCTTAGTGCTCTGTGTGGGCAAATGAATGGAAGAGTGCAGAACAGAAAAACGCACCTGCTTCTTTACCCAGGGCTCCAGGAGGGGGTGGGGGAGACCTGTCTTTCCAGCCTCTCTGCCTGGATGAGTTTGGGCAGGAAGGGGAAGTATGTGCTGCTAAAGATTTGTGACGCCTCATTCACAGCAGTGTGGAGGTTGCTGCTGCCAGAGCTGGGTGCAGTAGGGGCCAAACCATGATGGAGACTGCCTTTCCAGGCACTGGGTGAGTGCCAAGCCTGGTCCCCACTCTGTCAGCCTCACAGGCCTTTACCAATGGGAATTGCCAGTGGACTGGGTCTTTGGTCCCTCCTTGCATCCATCTCCAGGACCAAGGAGGTCCTGGCCATACTCTACCAGGAGAGGCCTCCAGGACTAAGTTCCAGAGCATAGGTCCTGCTAGTAACCAAGCAAGGACTGGTCAGTGCTCAAGCATAGCCAAGTAAATGCCTGTCTTTGCAGATCAACTGAGTCAGCTGTGGAGGCCACTCTCACAGTGGTCATTAACAATTGAAGACTCCACTGTCTGGTCTCCTCAGTCTTGCTCCACTCTTCTTAGGCATTTTGACTTATTAAAAATGCTCTAGGAATCATGTCTGGCTTTTAGTTCCATAACCTGTCTGTGCTTCCTATGGTCACCACAGCCTTCCTAGTGGGCCTTAGCAGAGGTGGCTTACATCCAGACTTGTCTTGCTCTGCCATGTACCCAGGGACACATCTGCACCACACTCTGGGCACCTCAGCACCCTCTCCTGCCCAGTCTCCGCAGCCCAAGGCTCTTCACTGTTCATGGGGCGGCTGGGGACTCTGCTGTCTGCTCTTACTTATGGGCCTCTTCCCAAATAGCCCGAGGGACAAGTTGACTCTCAGGGTTCAGGGCAGTAGTGCTCTTTCCTCCCCAGGGACTTAAAGCCTCCCTAGAAAGCATATGGTTCACCCCAGCCTGGTGGGCTGGCCAGCCCTAAGCTGCAAGTGCCAGGCGAGGAAGGCTGTTTCTCCAGGAAAGTTAGAGCTGGGCTCCCTTTCGCGGACAGTCAGGCCTGACAGTATTTGGAAAGCCTAGCCCCTGAGTTCCAGTAAAGTGGAGATGGCTAGGCCAAGAGCAATCATCCAAATGAAGGCAATTAATCTTAAAACCCAAAGTTTAACCATTTGCAAAACAGATCTTTCTGTCTCTGTGGTGACCCTTCACTGCTCGACCTAATGGATTACTTTATTAATAATGCACTGTGCTTAAAAGCAAAAAAAAAAAAAAAAGGAAATTTTTTT